AAAAATCCAGAAAAACGCATGTCAAAAATGTTATAAAATGATTTTCATTTTAATGAGGGAAATAAGTATTTGACCCCCTCTCAATCAGACAGATTTCTGGCTCCCAGGTGTCTTTTATACAGGTAACGAGCTGAGATTAGAAGCACACTCTTAAAGGGAGTGCTCTTAATCTCAGCTTGTTACCTGTATAAAAGGCACCTGTCCACAGAAGCAATCAATCAGATTCCAAACTCTCCACCATGGCCAAGACCAAAGAGCTCTCCAAGGATGTCAGGGACAAGATTGTAGACCTACACAAGACTGGAATGGGCTACAAGACCATTGCCAAGCAGCTTGGTGAGAAGGTGACAACAGTTGGTGCGATTATTCACAAATGGAAGAAACACAAAAGAACTGTCAATCTCCTTCGGCCTGGGGCTCCATGCAAGATCTCACCTCGTGGAGTTGCAATGATCATGAGAACGGTGAGGAATCAGCCCAGAACTACACGGGAGTATCTTGTCAATGGTCTCAAGGCAGCTGGGACCATAGTCACCAAAAAAACAATTGGTAACACACTACGCCGTGAAGGACTGAAATCCTGCAGCGCCCGCAAGGTCCCCCTGCTCAAGAAAGCACATATAAATGCCCGTCTGAAGTTTGCCAATGAACATCTGAATGATTCAGAGGACAACTGGGTGAAAGTGTTGTGGTCAGATGAGACCAAAATGGAGCTCTTTGGCATCACCTCAACTCGCCGTGTTTGGAGGAGGAGGAATGCTGCCTATGACCCCAAGAACACCATCCCCACCGTCAAACATGGAGGTGGAAACATTATTCTTTGGGGGTGTTTTTCTGCTAAGGGGACAGGACAACTTCACCGCATCAAAGGGACGATGGACGGGGCCATGTACCGTCAAATCTTGGGTGAGAACCTCCTTCCCTCAGCCAGGGCATTGAAAATGGGTCGTAGATGGATATTCCAGCATGACAATGACCCAAAAAAACACGGCCAAGGCAACAAAGGAGTGGCTCAAGAAGAAGCACATTAAGGTCCTGGAGCGGCCTAGCCAGTCTCCAGACCTTAATCCCATAGAAAATCTGTGGAGGGAGCTGAAGGTTCGAGTTGCCAAACGTCAGCCTCGAAACCTTAATGACTTGGAGAAGATCTGCAAAGAGGAGTGGGACAAAATCCCTCCTGAAATGTGTGCAAACCTGGTGGCCAACTACAAGAAACGTCTGACCTCTGTGATTGCCAACAAGGGTTTTGCCACCAAGTACTAAGTCATGTTTTGCAGAGGGGTCAAATACTTATTTCCCTCATTAAAATGCAAATCAATTCATAACATTTTTGACATGCGTTTTTCTGGATTTTTTGCCGGTATTCTGTCTCTGACTGTTCAAATAAACCTACCATTACAATTATAGACTGATCATTTCTTTGTCAGTGGGCAAACGTACAAAATTCAGCAGGGGATCAAATACTTTTTTCTCTCACTGTAGCTACTCTTTCTGTGTGCCTCAAGAGTGGTGAAATAATTGAAGGTGGATACAGCGGCTACGAGTCCGGTTGCTCTATGTTGAGCATCAGAATGGGGTCACGGATGCAATCTCATCGAGTCAAAGAGTTACTGTGATTGATGAACGTGTAATGCTTTTTACGCTGAGGCACTTTCTGGGGGTCTCCCTCCTTGTTAAGCTGCGGGATCTTGAAAATAAAGATAATTGAATCAGTGTTACACATGCATCATTCTCATGACACCGTGTGTCATTCTTGGTTGTTAAATGCAGTTGTTGATGCCAATTGGGTTGGCTATGAGTTGTGTATCGGGGATTGATAATCATTGGTTCTTCTTATCAGCATACTAACCTACACGACTTGGACTTGGATGTCCAATGCTGACAATGCAGTGACAGAAATTGATCATCTACTTGAAAATAGCCGCTGAAAAATCCCACAGAATTGCAAAGTTTTCCAAAAATTCTGAGTCATTCTAAATTTGCCACATGCTTGTTGTAGCAACTCTCGGGGTTAATTTGAAATCCAAGAAGATCCTGATCTCTGGTTCTCCTCGACGAGATTTTGAGAAACTGCAGGGTGAAAAATGTCTCCAGTGCGTTTGCCACATGGAAGTCTTGAAATGTGTTGATCAGCTAATTCGTTTTGAAGACCGGTCAATTGTCAGAGATAATTAAAGCTAGGAATCCTAGAAGCTGCCCATGGCTGCCTGAGAGTGAAGCCTAGGACAGGGAAAGGGCTGTGTTTCTGAGCAGATTCTTAAAACTATGGGGAGGAGGAGTCGTTCAGCCAGGTTGAAGGGGGAAATATGGTCTGCCCACAAGCTAAATCATCAGTTAGGAGTGACAAAGAACATTGGGCTCAGAATATTGCCATTGAGGCCGAGAGCCACCTTTGCTTATGTATTACTTATACAATCATCAAACCCGTCAGTTCGAAGCCTGTGCTTTGTGTAATGGTTATTAGGGCAGCTGGTGGTAGAATTTTTGTCTGATCCTGATGAGTGCAGTACCCAATGGGCCAATATCATATTGTGCAGTCTTTCCACGTGTGTGGCGAGGATGTCAAGGTCTTGGATAGGTTCACTTTAATTGGTAGCATTATCGAGAGTGAGGCAGCAGTCATAAGGCAACCTACGGTGACCTACAAGGTAGGAGATTTGCTTAACCAGAGTGATTGGAATTGGTATTATGTTAGCAGAATGACGAATTTCCATGTTTGCAAGGTCCGTGTGCTTTGTGTCTTGCTCTTTGGAGCTAAGATGTGGCCAATCAGAGGATCATTGGGGCATAACTGAACCCCTTTGTTACCATGTCGCTTTGCTGAATATTTGGGGTACGATGGGATGACTTTTTGTCCAACCATAGACTTCTGCAGGAAACTAATTGAAGTGAGGATTGCTTCCAGGATGATATGCGAATGACAACTATGTCACTTTGGGTATATACGTTGCTTCTGCCTGGTGCACCTTAACCACCGGGTTCCTTGTACGAGGCTGAGAGGCAATGGGGGCCTTGTCTTCAGGGACCCTAGGGTTGGCGGCAGTGGGTGGATGCTGACACTCGCTATCTCTTGAAATTAATAATATATCAGCATGGTAAACATAGTGCTGAATAAAGGCCACCCCAAGGCCATCACCATCTCTCGCGGTCGTGCGATGCAACAATACGCCTAGCACCTGCACGTGAGATTATTTCATCGTTCCGTCTCTGCGTGGTGTGTGATGGAGCACGCATTATTGTATTTTTGTTTGCATTGCACCATGTGAATCCCCAACACCGCTGGGAGCCATTGACGGTCGTGGAGAGAGTGTTGCTTTAGTTGTGCTGACCCTCAGCCCTGTAGACATAAACACGATATTTACATTTAGCACTACCTCATGCAGTGAGGCTAAACATAAATGCCGCAACACTTGCTCCACAATTTATAGCATTCCCTCTTCTGATATGTCCAACTTGATTATATAAGTTACAACACATTCTATTTTCATGCAGCCTGTGTTAAATTCAGGGTATTGCATTTTTTTTTTACCAATAAAATTGCATTCAATATATTGGAGTTGAAATATGTTTCATACATAAAGTTTAGGTGAGAATATGGCATTTAAATGATAAACGTAGCAAACTATTTCTATTTGGACAAAAAGGGAACATCCCAAAGCATTGTTCTTTTTATATCTCTCCATGGAATTTGTATATTTTAAAGGTGTTTTTTTGTGCACAGTAGTTAATTTAATGTTCATCATGCATTGATTGTGGCTTCCTCATACTTTGAAAGAGAATGAGCTTATAATGGACATTAGCATGGAGCAGATTGTATATTTTAATCATCTGGATTGCTTTGGATGAATGCTGTGAAATGGAAAAATCTTTTAAAACCAGATGAAATCTGGTTATATATAGAATGACATAAACATAGCTTCGTGTATCGTTGGATCTGTCTTTTCCAGAAACTATTATTTTGATGGTTGTTTATTCATGTATCTTTGGCGTATACCTACGTGTGTTGATTTCATTTCTATGTCACCTCATGTTTAATCAGAAAAGACCGAGTCTTTCAAAGAAATGTGGCCAAAATTTTGTTTTACTTTCATCATAGTTTACAGCATTAATTTTTTTTTTCTATTTAAATGCTGTGCAGCAAAATCCTATTCATACATCAGTCTCTGATCTGTAGTTATTATATATGGTATTCTGGAGAAATACTTTATACCTATACTGAAATGAAAAAGTAGACATTTGTTTCCACATATACACCCACCTGTTGCTTCTACAGGATCAGACTTACTTAAATGTACACGTATGTACCACATAAACAATTGGTTACATTGATATTGTTGGACAATTTGATGAAAATACATAATGCAGGAATACAATGGACACGTGGAATCGCTGCACATTTGGGATGATATCTCCTTACCTGTCCATTAATTATTTATTCTCCCTTTGTAATAAGGTCATGTGATGACTGCGTAGCCATTAATGATCTATGCTGTGAAGAGATTTAAGTGTCAGGCACTATCTTCTTGGTTCTTTCGGTAAAGTCACGTAGAATGGAAATAAAATAATAAAAATAAAACAATAAAATAAAATTATCTCATGACGAAATAATGTGTTTAAAGCACTCGGTGAATATGAGAGAGAGATCAAGGTAACTGAAGCCCCACTCTTCTACAGCTGCTTTGCCCGATTAAGTTTTCGGAAACAAAAGTGATAAGTGAAGAATAATAATAGACCACAGGTGATCGCTACGTGTCTTTTTTAGTTTAAACCTTGACAGTTTTATGCGAGGATGTCATTGCTTGTTTTCAGACGAAGCGCTTGTCCCTGCTATTTAAAAAAAAAATGGTTTCTTCCACAAGGGTCGCAGCAAAGTGAGTTTGACATTGGCATTAAACTCCCCATCTGACAGCAGGGAGGGAAGAGGAGAAAGATAGGGGCCAGATTGAGAAGGGGGAGAGAGAGCGCGCGATACCGAGAGCAGAGGATACACCGTTTTCCATTGGCGGTGCTCTCCAGTTCGCCGTGGCACTGAGCGGATTGCTCCCATCGCGGAGCGCCCACACCGCCGCTTCGTGCCTGCCGGTGCATGGTGGTGGGCGTTTGGTTTAATTGGGACGGGGCTTCGGCGCACGGCGGTGTGTGCGTGCGCGCGCGCCAGCCATCGGCGCGTCTCGTTAGAGGCTCCGTTTGTTCGGTTCCATCAACTCGGAGCTCAATTTATAGCCGCCGTTTTTTTTTTAAATCCCGGTGGGTGTTCCATTGGCCATCGTGCCCTTAACTTGTAAAGCGACCTGCTAAAATTGGACTGGCAGATTGACGTGCGGGGACCATGGCGGTCGGGACTGAGCAGTCGCTAAAGTCTGGGCACATGGACGAGGATGAGGAGGTGAGAACTGTCGTATCACACGTGTGCGGTGTGGTTTATTACCGTTGTATTTATATATTTAACTCAATACCGTTTCTATTTTTAAGCCTTTGATGACATGCGTTTGGAAAAAATATAGTCGATGTAGGAGAAGCAAAATGAAATTTCAATTTTGCCGTAGTTTCTTAATGTTAGTCACTGCTCAGAGTACTTACAATATTAATCACGAGGATTGGATTAATTATACATTGATTGCGAGTACAAAACCTCTTCTATTAATTTGTTTACATTTGTGTCCATGAGCTGAATGTCGGGCTGTATTATTTTGCGATCTTTTCTTCGAGTATACATGAACTACTTTTATCTTTAAGTCACATTTGTCCTATATTTCAAGAGTATGCACAACAGTAATTTAGATTTTTTTTATTTAATTTAATAATTTACAATACTCTTGTGTTCACAGTGGCACTGAGTTGAAAATATGGATGTTGCCTCATCATTGCCCCTGAATAATTGACCGTTACCATTTTTTTACATCTAATTTAATGCCCACGATGACCATGTTTTGACTGCTGACTCGTCAACCTTTCCTCCCCACCGTGCAACATCCCATTCGTGTTCATTGTCTTCCTATTTACCTAACAGCCGTGAACACGGTCCCTCATTGTTTGTGGCATTGAAGAGCACAGTTATAATGGCGCTGGCGGGTAATTAAAAATTCATTGTCCTCGCAACAAAGACTGCAGTGCCTACACCGCCAGGGGCCCGGTGAACGAAGATGGATTAACGTGTTACATTTTCCACTTGAACTGCGCCGCCCTCTTCTGAATGGATGATGTGGGCTCTTCTGCTCTGATTGGCAATGCACGCGCGTTGCTGCATCAGCGGTGACTGCACTCTGCAGGCATGCATTAAAGCTGCCCACGAAGGTTTACTCGTAACTACTTTTTTTGCGGACATAGTGCTTTAATGTGGAAGTGAAATTTCATAAATGCTTGATTTTTTTTATTTTATATTGTCATTGTCTATTTGAATAATGGTCGACTCTTGATACGCTCAAGTGTAAACGTGACATGATGAAAGAGGTGTACACTGCAATGTTGAGTCAAGATTACTTTTGGTAGGCAAGTAATCACGAGCCATAATTCTCTCTGTCGATGCCAATAAAAGCCACAGTCCTTTCGTCAAGCACTCACGCACAAATCTGCAGCACATTTCCAGCCTCTGGATTTTCCGGAAAGATAAAAAAACAATCTTTGCGAGCGCTTTAATCTTATTTTACAAAATATATAATGGGAATCAATGCCCTATATGTGCCGCAAATAAAACATGCAACTTTGATGTCAGGAGGTTTCCTGCCGCGGCCAATACGATGACAGAATGAGGATACGGGCACCGAAATAAGCCTTACTCTGGAGAGCTGCATACACAAACAAACCACCCACCCACCCCCCTGTGGCAAAGGCAACCTGCCTTTGCTTCTGGATCCGCGCCACATGACATGTACATTCTCCGTGCCCTCCCTTCGCGCACGCCCTTTGCTATATCCGACATCTCTCCATCACCGTTGTGTAGCCGTCGTTTGTGGACACGTTAATTCAGATGCTTATTGGTCCAATTGATGAATTGGGGGGGTGGGGGGGGTGGGGGGGGTGGAGGGTTTGCAAGAGGAGGAAGAGGTGGTGGCTTCGAGTTGACTTGCATTCGCGACACCTCACACGAGCACTCCAGACGAGCCCGTCGGCCTGTCAGATGGGGCAAGCGGACGCAGGCTAATGATGGCCCCTTCACGCCCAAGCCCATCATTCACTGTCTGTGTGCGCGAGGTGCCCTTGATTTTCCAAGCATCCGATGATAACGTCAAGCGAGTTAATTTTGCAATGAATTATTGCTGTGTGTAATACTTTGTTGTGATCTGGAAGCTGTCATTAATTTTCTCCTGGCTCCAAAGCTGCTTTTGAGGACATCCGTATATGTATATAGGGCTACGTGATATATATATATATTTACAGTCACTTTGAGTTGTTATTTTTCAGGTTTAAATATGTGTTCGAATTTCCGTAAATATTTTAGGGTAACATCAAACACATAATGAAAACAATACATTTGATCTTCTTTGGGTCTTTCGGTAAAGTCACGTAGATAGGTTTAAATTATTAAAAATAAAATAAACAAAAAACTACGACGTTTCGATCACAACATCAGGAGGAAAAAAAGGGGGCGACTGATTGAAACGTTGTCGTTTTTTATTTTTTATTTTTATTCATTTGAACCTATCTAAGTGACTTTACCGAAAGAATCAAAGAATATGAATTCCTGCAGTCACGAAAGCTTTAAGTCAAGATTTAATACATTTTATCGAATTCTTAGGTTGTCTGTTACCTGAGAATTTTGGGTCGTGGTGTAATCTTTCCTCTCTCTTAACATATATGCAAGTGGGTAGCACATATCGGCAAACAAGTAAAGTAAGTATCTGTTGGCTAATTAACATGATGTGCTGCCGGCTATCTGAGTTTTAAAATTCTGCAATCAATATAGGTGCTCCGAGCAAGCCATATCGACTCAGCCTCGGGGCATATTGGTGTTCAAAGGTGGCAACTTGTTCTCATCCCACATTTCAACGTAATTTTGTTTAATTAAAAGGTCTAATTTCAGCCCGTGGAGTAATGGACCAAACATAACCTTATTCAGTGACAAGAACAAAAAAAAACACGTCACGTTTACAGCTTTACTGATGAGGTACCTATGATCTGTGGGCGCTCTTTTAACTCCGACCATATTACAGTGACAAATTGCTTACTTCATATATCGTTTTCTTAAAAACCCTCATCGCAATTGTAGAGTCTCTCTCAGGAGTTGTAATTTCAAATTTGCGCGTCTCCTGCTGTATGCTCTTCAGCACGTGATGCCAAATAGGAAAACAGAAAGAAGGGGAAAGTATGAAAGGACAAGATGAATATATTCATAGTCTTCGGAACGGCAGTCCTCTATAACCTTGTCCCTTGGCTAACATGTTATAGAACACAGAGTGATGATACCTACGAAATGCACAGGAAAGGAAAAGCCAGAATTCTAATTAATGCGGCGATTATAAGGTGCCCCTAATAGATGTTGGGCTTTAGGGATTCCAGGAGTGGGGATGGATTGCCAGCCCAAGGGAGGAGAGTGTTGATTCATCATTCCTGACCATCGCTCTCATGTATGTTAATTGGATACTTTAAAATGCCAGTTAATGTGTGCAAGCTTCATGTTAGCATGAACGCCTGTAAATTCATTTGACAAAAATAAAAACAAACATGGTATAATTAAAACAAACATCTTGGATAATGACGACAGTAAGTATTACAAATTAATGTTCATGGATATATTTGCTTTTCCTAAGGACAACTAGTGTTAACTTTTGAACAATTTCAAAAGTCAGTGCTTAATACGCATACGTGTCAATGAAACACACGTGCATGTGTTCATACGGAAAATATGTTTAATGCGGTGCTTCACAAAGCTTGACGCATGTGTATTATTCTGCAAAAAATATTATGCAAAATAACACACATATATCAAGCAGCAAAATCCCTGTAATTCTTACAACAACAGAGTCCTAGAATGTCCATCACAAGCTGGTAAAAATCCATTGAGACCAATAGTCTCCTTTCAAGCGGAACATGTTATCCTTCTACGTTCTGTCTTGCCTCAAAATATTAGAATGGTATTATTTAGATAACACAAACAGATGCTTGTTGTGTTGTCTGCTGAGTCATGCTCCGAACTGGCCAAGAGATAAATTTAAGAATAATGAGATGCAGTTGCATTTAGATGTTCACCAAAGCCAAAGCTCTAAACTGAGAAGTGTTTTATTATGGTGGTTTTTGTGAGAGTATTGGTGACAGGGCTGAAGTGGAAAGGGAATGGAGTTGAAAAGTAGTCCCATAAACACATTGTGGAAAGAGTAAGCTGTAACTTGCAGTCGTTTTAACACCAGCAACTTATGAGGCATCTATTTATTTCAATTGGGAGTAAATCTTGTATTGTCAAACGTTCCACAGTGAATCCAACAAATGTCCATAAAACGTTAATCAGGTTAAAACATGTTTTGCCATAACAGTATCATGCTGTTGATTATGGCAATAATAATAACAACAACTACATTTGTATTCTATTATTTATTTAAATTTCTTTCTACGTGACTTTACCGAAAGAACCAAAGAGTAATAACAACTACATTTGACTGCAATGAGAATATTTGATCAAGTCATGGCTATGAATGAAGACAAAAAAGGATCATTCTCGGTGCCTATTATTAAAGTCACAATTGTATTTGCATTACATAGATGTCTGTTAAACAGACGTCCTGTTCAACCATACCTGTCAACCCATACGGTTTACCCGTATTCTTGTCCAGGGAAATAAGAGTTTTCAGGTCCATACGGAGTACAGCCGTTTCAATACGAGCAACAAAAAATACGTGTTTGTTTCCCTCTTTGTGTTTCTTCCTTGTGATGGGACTTTGTAGGGTGAACGTTGAGATTTATAAGGGCACGGGGTGACCAATAAGGTCTGAATTGGTCTGTAATAAGGTAGGGCACTGATAAGGGTGTTTTGACAGGTATGGTATAGGTTATAATGTAGTGTATAGTGTGGTGTATAGGATAAACTTTGAGATTCATAAGGGCACGGGGTGACCAATAAGGTCTGAATTGGTCTGTAATAAGTTAGGGCACTGATAAGGGTGTTTTGACAGGTATGGTATAGATTTTAATGTAGTGTATAGTGTAGTGTATAGTGTAGTGTATAGGATAAACTTTGAGATTCATAAGGGCACAGGGTGATCAACAAGGTCTGAATTGGTCTGTAATAAGGTAGGGCACCGATAAGGGTGTTTTTGACAGGTATGGTATAGTGTAGTGTATAGTGTAGTGTATAGTGTAGTGTATAGGATAAACTTTGAGATTCATAAGGGCACAGGGTGATCAATAAGGTCTGAATTGGTCTGTAATAAGGTAGGGCACTGATAAGGGTGTTTT